CGCACCTAGAGGGGCTGGAGCATCTCGTGCTGCGCCACTGCGTCATCGGCGACGCTGCCGTGGGCTTCATTGGGCGCCACATGAAACATCTCCAGTTCCTGGAGGTCAGCGGCGCTTACTCCCTGACAAACACGGGTCTGGCTTGTTTAGCAACCCTGCAGCGCCTGGAGACGCTGTGCCTTGATCTCTGCAATAAGATTTCTCCCGGTGATATTATTGCTTTGTGCCGAGCGCTGCCCCAGCTGAGGAACCTCAAATTAGACAGGGCTCACTTTGAAGACGAAGTAATCAGTAAAATTCAGGCAAGTTTGCCCCGCTGTAGCTTTTCACATACTCCTTGACACAAGGCCCGGAGCAGCAGGGCTTTTGCCGTTTGTTACGATGCCTGAAGTGCTCCTTTTTGGGTAAAGTCTGTTTTTCTGGGAGCTGCTGTACATATTTTTGGGACAGAATTTTTGTCGGGGCTAAACCAGCAAATGTGTCCTGTAAAATGGTTTGTAGGGAACTTGCTTTTGATAGGATCCCCCCTTTTCCATGGATCAGGGGAGTAGGAAGGATGGGGAGCACCCAGTTTTTGGGAGTCCCACTGATGAGCTGACCAAAGACTGGCTGAGGTTACAAGTTTAACCTCTGTCTCCTCCTCTTCCCCCCGCTGCTAAACATCAGGCAGCAGCTTAACAACCACAGAATTAAAGGAGCAAAGTGAGGCGCCCTCCTACCACTGAAAAAAGGATCTGGCAGCCCAATCCCCAGACTTCCAGTTAATATCTAACTCCGATTGCTTAACCACCCTGCACGTACGCTCCAAACTCTGCCGGGGAAGAAATACCTCAGTGACACACAGCAGAGCTGCTGTTTTCTTTGAAGAGCTCAGGCGATCCGCCCAGACAGCGAGCGCTTTCAAGTCCAGGATGTCACCTTGCTTCTACTTTCTGTCAAATTCAGTTCTTCAAGTTATTCTTCAGAAAGGTTTTGGTCACGGGGCTTCCTGAACGCCTGGTGCTAAGAGCCACACGTCCCGTTTGCGCAGTGAACAGGCTGGTGCGGGCTCACGGGCATCGCCAGGGGCTGCCATTACCTCCAGGTTTTGCTGGGAGCAGCCACATTTCCTCATCACCTTTTATTTGGCCGCATTCTCCTCCGCATAATGTCATAATACTAGATAACTGACACAGAGCGTTGTGACGTTGCTACTCCTAGGTCACTGAGTCAGCCAAGAATGTTTTTAAATCAAATATTGTATTCATTAAATAAAAAATGCTTTTTATTTTTCTCATGCTGCAATGTTTTAACTGATCTAATGTCTTTGTTAAAATAAAGAAGTCAGGCAGCTTTGCAGCGTACTCGGGTGTTAACAGCTGAAGAGCCGCTGTCCTGGGATGAAGGTACGGGCCGGCGCGTCGAGTCGGCACGTTAAGCCAGGCTGCAGCGGTCCAGAGCTTGGCATAGGACTCCCTCAGGGAGACCCCTCGGTTTGTCTCCCGATTTAATCAACCCTTCAGTCCTAGCAAAGCTTTTCCCTTATGGCAGGGAGACACGTGGAATTGCAGAGAGCTCAAACAAACGCCCAAGTCTTGGATCCTCTTAACACCCCAGTCCCCTCCCGGAGAGATTCTCCTACGTTGTTCACGTCCCCCCCGATCCAGACTGACAGGGATGTGAACGGACGTTTCCCACAGTTGTCTTTCCGT